CCCCAAAACCCCAAAACCCCAAAACCCCGGAGAGGGGTAAGAGTGTTGAAGTTAGATTTTGGATGGGATTATTGCGTTTAGGTACAGTTTTGGGTGTTATTGTTTTGATGGGTCGCTTCCTTCTCTGACTAAGGAGATATGGGTCAGGTTGTGGGTTTGGAGAAGCTCTGTTACTTTTGGAGATGATATTTTGCAAGATCTAACGTTTAGCTTGGTGAGAGAGGCTGAGAGAGGAGAGTTTTTAATAGCAACAACAATGTGTTCGAATCTGCGAGGATATCTGTTCCACTCCATATTGCACCAGTTAGAGTTTCCACAGTTTACAAAGCTGAGGTACTTCAGATTGGAATGCGGGCCTGAGAAGTCAAGTAAGTCAGAAGTAAAAATTTTACAGTATCTGATTACTAATCTCTCAGCACCAAAAGAAAATTTAATAATTTTACTGAGATCACTTTCATCGATGATCAAATCTCTCAGATAGATCTCTTTGACCACATTTGGAAGTATTTTATCAAGTCCATTCAAATAGAACTTGACTTCTACTGCTCTGTTACCAAACAAGCCTTTGATATAATTATGATTAAACACAAAGTGCTTCAATGAGGATGGAGCAGAATACTCCATGAAATCTTTAAGAACAGCATCTTCATTACTAACATTATCAATAGAAAGTCTGTTGAATTCTTCCAAAGAATACCTTCAGTCAGCCATAGCTTTTATGAGCTTCTTCCACTTATCTTCTTGCATATCTATTACTAGCTCTGGCTTCTCCAGGTCAAACTCTTCATAAATACTTCTGAAAATAGACTTAGCATTGAGCTTGGTCTGTTCCAGCCCTTCAGCAGTAGCTTTGAACTCTAAAGCATATTGGGAGAGGCTTACCTTCAAGCAGGTTCGAGATGGCCTGCTGGTCTTTTGAGTGTTGGTCTTGGGCTGAAGCAATTTGTACGATTTTGGAAGAGAGTTCTTGTTCGAGAAGAGATTTTGAAGATTCTAGCTGTTGGTGCTGGGCTTCTAAGAAGGCTTGTTGGGCGAGTAGAAGAGAATTGTCTGATTGAAGGGTTTCTGTGACTTGTTTTTGGTGTTCCAGTTCGGACTCTTTGGTATTGTTTTGATTTTTAAGAGCTTGGATTTGGGATTTGAACTCGTCTGTGAGTTTGCTCTTACATTCTTTTTGGAATTGACCGATTTGGAATGAATATTTCTTCTTCATGTGTTCCAAATTGTCTTTGACAGTTGTGTGGATTTTGTCTCTTGACTTTTTGACCGAGAACATGTCTAAATGTTATGTATTCCTTACCACTATCAACTTGAGAGACATAATCAAAACTAGCAATTCTGGTGGTTGACAAAAACAACACTTTTCTGATTGTCTCACTTTTAGCCATATTGTTTTGGATTCTAAAGTGTTGTAATGTCTTATCCAACCTGAGTTATTAAGCTTACTCTCTCACTTCTAACTGAAGGGTATCAAACTGGGCATAATTCTTATGCTTAATAGCTTCTTTGATGTTCTTTTCAACCTCTATGCATCTATCAGAAAAGCTTCTTAGTTCGTCATCAGCATCTTGGATGTACACTGTGAGTCCGTTCTCAGCAAGTATTTCTCTGATTTTCATGGCAAGGTTTTTGGCTTCTACCAGATTGGTCTTTACGTCATCAAGAGACTGAATCATTGTTAGATGACAATTGTAATGCATTTTATTAGCACATCTTATACAGGAAAACATCTGATGAGTTCTTCAGAAACACATGCTCTGACTCTTGCACAACATATCGTTGCATTGGTGTCTATTTCAGGTTCAGAAACAATACTCAAATCATTAATTCTTAGAGCAAAAACCTTACTTGCTAAGGGTTGGAGAACTTCGCTTCATTTTTAGTAAAATATAATTATGTCTTGATTTCCACAACATTTGTTTTTTAAGGGGTTTTGGGGTTTTGGGGTTTTGGGGTTTTGGGG